TCAAAGTCAGATTTTATAGCTAACATCAGAAAGTATTACTGTTTAGCTTCCTTAGGTCATTAGAAATTGTTTTATTCTTTAAAAACCCGTTATCTCCAGGAAATGGCTAAAGATGTCAATGGTATGTAAGTTCTCTTGTGATAAAAGCTACTCGTCTTTGATCTTTAAAGCAAAATACTATTTTATTTTTTCATTTTATTTATTTATTTATTTTGAGTTTTTTGAGACAGGGTTTCTCTGTGGCTTTGGAGGCTGTCCTGGAACTAGCTCTTATAGACCAGGTCTTGAACTCACAGAGATCCGCCTGCCTCTGCCTCCCGAGTGCTGGGACTAAAGGCATGCGCCACCACCACTTGGATAAAATACTATTTTAAAAACCATCAAATGCACTTTTACTACTACCTGGAAACTCAGCTTCTAGAAATTACCATTCATTTAAAAAAATCAAGAGACATTTTCACGTATTTACACATAATACTTCTTTTTTGTTTGTTTGGATTTTTCTTTTTTTAGACGAAGGGTTTCTCTGTGTAACAGCTCTGGCTGTCCTGGAACTCGCCTTGTAGACCAGGCTGGCCTCGAATTCACAGAGATCCACTTGCTCCTGCCTCCCAAATTCTGGAACTAAAGGCAGGCCACCACTGCCCAACTATATTTAATACTTACATAAACACTTTCATCCCAACCCTTTCAAAAAGAAACCATGAAATCCTAAATATGTAAATAGATGCTATCAAATATTAGTGGCACCATGTTTTTCATGGTTAACTAATATGGAAGACTGATGACCAATAAGCAAAGGACAGGAAACCAATCTGGCATACACATTAATCTGGACACAATGGGTACTATCACTGTTACAGTTAGCAGTAATGAGGAGCTCTTTAGAAAGCTAAGGCACAAAGAACTTCACACATCACAGACTATCTCACTTTTTTTTTAATCCTCCTTAAAATGAAAGACCCATTCTCTATTTAAATTGTCTATTTCTAAAGTGCTTTCCACATACTGTTAATACACCATGATTACTCAATCTTGCAATACTGCCCTCCTTTAATTTCCCACACAAAATGGGAGGTATGGAGTTTTTGTTTTGGAATCTCCCCCACCCTTTGATTAGAGACCAAAGCAAAAGATTGTCTTTACATACTCTAAAATGTCTACCATTTGGGAAATACTGTAAAGTACAAACACATACACCTTCCATGTTAGAAGTTACTTGAATATTGACAGGGAGCTCTGAAGATGTATTTGCCTGTAATTTAAGGATTTAGTGTGAATGTAAACCGAGAAGGACCGTAGTAACATATATTCCATTACATTTCCCTAAGAACTTTCCCTTAAAGTTCATGCATGTCTCTGTACAGCCACGGACGTTGATCTGGGCTATTCGATGAAAATAATCAGAGCTGCATCTCTCCGGAAATATATCAATCTAGCTTATCATTATCAACGCAGATCTGCAAAACTCACACGTCCAAAGGAGGGCTGAGGTAGTATTCCCCGACAGAGGATGTTGGTTTGGTCTGTAATTTAACACTCACAGGGCAGATAGTGTGATTAGCTCCTGATCCCTCCTCAGTGAGATGCTGGGAGGTGTCGGTCTCCATCCTTGTCCTCCCCCACCCGCTCCTCATTCCTTTGCTTCAAACACGTATAAACGCACTCTCGATCACATTCGAAGCTGAGAGGTGCCCCCGTGGACAGTTTTACAGGGTCGTTTTCCTGGTGCGTAAAATGGGATCTAACGCCCTGGGACAGCCTGGGGTTGAATGCCATTACTGCCAGCCCCCGAGGCTCACCTCTAGCTTGTGGTTGATCTGGGACACAGTCTGGGCTTTGTGGCAAAGCTGCGCAAAGCAGGAGCTAAGGCTGGTCATCTTCTGCCGCCCCTCATAAGTGATGTCCGCCTGGTCCGGATCGATCTCCCCCAGGAGCAGATCCACATCCACGAAGGCCTTGTCGAACTCCTTCTCCAGCACCTCCAGCCACCGGAACATGGACACCCCGCCAGGGGAGACCCCCACAGGGCAGGAGGCCCCTCCTGGGCCGCCGCCCCCTCCCGCCGGGGCTGGGGCCCCCCGCCAGCAC